ATGAAAATATCTGGAAAATCAAGGTTTTGTGTAGAGGGATTCCTATTTTTTTTAAATTCTATAATTTATTGCAAGAAAAAGTGAAATTAACAAATCTACGGTTATCGAAGAAAATCAAATTTTTATCACGAAAGTTCTTTCTACAATCCCATAAGTGTTGTCCACGACAAATCTTGATAAAATGCATGACTTTAACAGAAAGTTTTCATTTTTATTTTTGTAATTTTTTAATTTTTGAAATTTCGCTGGACGGAAATTCTTTTACCCTCCTCTATATCAAAATATTTTTTTTTAACAAAAGCCCTTAGATTTTTGTCACGTAGTTCAAACCCACCGAGACCTCGAAGTGTCAAGGTAGAGCTGATTTGGTTGGAAATTGGGACCGACACCTTTAAAATACTGAAAAATTAGAAGGAACTATTTTATAAGGCCATAGGAACTAATCCACTGAAATTTTAATAAACAAACAGACGCAAGAGGCTAAATAGAGATTAAATTATTAGCTGATCAAGAAATTATATGCTGTATTGGGTCTCTGACGAAATCTTAAATATATTCTGGGTTTTTTTTTCGGGAAATCCTTGGAAATATACACGATTTTTGTTAAAACTATTTAAAAAAAATCTTTAAGGAAAGCCCGCAATTTGGGCAGGGGTATCTTAAACATACATACAGAGTGAGATAAAAAACTGCAACAAAGTCAAATGCCATAATTTTTACATTTTTTCTTAATTTCATTGAATGAAAGCAAAAAATATCGGAAATAGCATCCAATTACAGAATAAGTTTACATTTGTTCGAATTGATCACCTTTGACTCGAATTATGGCCTTCAAAGGGCCAGTGAAACCATCACACGCCCATTTGGCCATTCCCTGCGAAGCATTTGATTGAGGTGATCGACACTCCATACTTCAGACACAATAGTCCAAGGGATTAGTACTCGGAGATTTTGGTGGCAATTGTGAGCTTAAAATGAAGCGAGGAACCTCATTTTGTAACCATTCTTGGGTGGCGCGTGCTGATTTCGATGGTGCTGAGTCCAAGGTCTGCGGCTAAAATGTTTGCGTGCTCAAGGCTTTAATACACCCTCCAGTATATTTTCTCGATAATATTCGGCATTTATTCTGATGCCACGGTCGATTAATACGAGCGGAGAGCGACCATTAGCTGTTTTGGCGGCCCACACCATCACCATGGCCGGCGCTTGAGTTCTGGTGACCAAACGAAAGTGCACATTTTCAGCTGACAACATAGCGTACAATAAAATTGAAATCGGACAAATATATAAATGGGAGCTATATGTATACATGATTTTTGACCTGTCCGCAAGCCCAGGAATAACTATTCAAAATAGATTTGTTATTACATTGTCAAAACGTGGTAAATATATTTAGATTTTGAAAAAATCTGTTCATATCGGAAAACTAGTTTGTGTAATACAAGAATATGATGCCTAATTAATTTATGGCGAATTATATAAAAGTGTTGATATATTCGAAATTTAGGCCAACAGAGATTCTCTTATGATTCTTTTTTTTCAAAATTTTAACTATTTTCGAAGCTAATTTTACACTTTAAAAATAGTTAACGTTCTACAAGATTTTGACCTTATGTATGAAAGGTATGAGAATGAGTGGCCTAATATGTTCTAATTTCGCACTTACCTAAGCCTGATATAAATAATTGCATACGTCAAGTTTGAGCGCGTTTTTTTTTTTGAAAATTAAACATTTTTGAAGGACTTACAGAAAGGTAGAAGTTTCAAGGGCCTGTATTGGAAAAAATTTCAAATAATAAAAAAAATACACAAACAGACCGTAAAAAAATATTTTTTCTAATATCCAAAACGAAAACCTCCTTCACATACATTTGTCCACAAATTCACTGATCATTTCTTTAAATTTTGAATGTTCATTTAATCAAAATTCTACACTCATTCATTGAATTGCAACACTTTCTTTAAACTACTTGATTTTATCAAATGTTTCAAGTGACTCGCAAATTAAACCTCTTACGGTTAGATCTTCAATAATTTGAAATGCCAATTGCTTCCACTTTATGTTCATTGCTATCAAATTTTTAATTGAATTCTCAACTTGTGTTGGAATATTTGAAGAGGTTTTTTTTTGTGCAATACCCACAGAAAAATGCACACACACACACACACACACTTCAAAACTAGGTAGACAATTTGGAGTAATCGAAAGAACAAACAAAAAAGTGTCATTTGCAAAGCAAGCAAGTGCATCTACACCACCACACCCAATCATGCAATAATCTAGGAAAAGTTTCTTTTAGGGGATGGGTCTATTTAAACTGGCCAGAAATTGTCATATCAAAATAACAAAGCGAGTGTCTTGGAATACAAAAATAAAAAAGGCTGTATGAAACACTAAATGTTTTTTTTTACTATGTGTATTATAAGTTTGATTGGGACAAAAATTATGAAACACCTCGAAATATTGGTTTCCCACATAGGAAAGTATATATGGATCTTCCTATCTCGCCGAGCTAACCGTATATATGACCGCCAGTCCGTATGCCAATGTTAATTTGTAATCAAGCTACAGATCGCAGTTATGGCTCTATCCTCACGAAATTGAAAATGGAGGTGGGGTTACGATTAGAATAAACCCCCATTGTTGGAGATAATTGCAAAATATTGAGGGGTTGAAATGAACCAAAAATAGAACATTTTCCTGATTTTGCAGGTGTTCTATAAGCCACAATTATGAACCAATCGACGTGGAAATTTACATGGAGTTGGAGTTAAGGGCTGTGCAGAACCCTACCAATTTCCACTGAAACGCGAATATTTTTAATTCCAGCCAAATCACAAATACATTGAAAGGTCACTTCTGACCATTAAAGGGATGCTGATAGCCAAGAAATCGGATATATAGCAAAATAGGTACAATATATATGTAAAAGAACAGATCTTATTTATTCTGCTTATAAATCAAAAACCATTGGGCCGATTTTCACAATTCTCATCATGGTCGGGTCTCTTGCCAGAAACGAATTTTTACACCCCGCAACACTACGTTTTGAAGGTATTATATACATGTCGCAATTATCGTTCGATCCTCACGAAATTTTGCATGGGTGTAGGGTTAGGGTCAGAATTAAAGCCTATTGTTCTTAAGACGTACATTAAGGGGTTCAAATAGACTAAAAAATTAAAAAATTTCTAATTTTATAGTCGCTCTATAGGCCACAATTGAAAATTAATCGATACGGAATTTCGCATCAGAAGAGAGCTGAGAACAGGTGCACTATTTTTTACATTATTTCAGAAACGAAATCTTCCAAAATGGATTTGGAACTAACGGGACTTTGAACGAATTGTAGTGTTGCAGAGTATTAAATGTTCGGCCCGCACGGCTATAGCCTTTGCTTACTTGTTTCTTTATAACTTAAGTCAGATTTCTGAATACTCCACAAAGTATGTATATATATATTCTTGATCAGCTTAATATTCTATATCGATTTAACGATGTCCGTCCGTCTGTGGACATCACTATAGCATCCGAACGAAATGGTATTTGAAGTTCGTAACGGATATTGCACCCTGTGACAGAAAATTGTCTGTGCAGGTCCACGACATCGTGTAGCCCCATATAACAGTATCTCCCGATATTCGGTACTTTCATGATTTTATCGACATTATTCACCGAAATTGTTTAAAATTTGGTATTTGAAGTTCGTAATGGATACTACGGCCTCAGATAGATAATTGTTTGTGCAGTTCCACGACATCGTGTAGCCCCATATAACAGTATGTCTATCATTAGAGCACTCCAGCATTTAAATAAGAATAAAGTTTTTGTGTCTCGTACCATCGCTCGTTAACGTGATACTGGTAGCGTAGCCCAACATCAAGGAAGTGGATGGAAGAAAACAGCAACCTCAGCGGAAATGGTTCGAAATGTAAAGAAGCGACTTGATCGAAACCCGCGTCGCAGTGGCCGAAAAATGGCTCGTGAGCTGAACATATGGCAATATTCCATTTGGCAAATATTGAAAAATGAGCTTACCCCGAGCTCATTGAAATTCCAAAAAATTGCAAGAACTTACACCGCAACAAAAAGAAAATAGACTCAAACAAGCTAAAGAGGTGCCTCGCTTGGCCGAAAGTGGTGAACTGCCAAATTTGGTTTTCTCTGAGGAGAAAACATTCGTTGTCAGCAGTGTGTAAACAAACAAAATGATCGTGTTTACTTGCCACAGAGGTCAGCTGAAAATGTGTACCTTCGGTTGGCCACCAGAACTCAAGCGCCGGCAATGGTGATGGTGTGGGCCGCCATAACAGCCGATGGTCGCTCTTCGCTCGTATTAATCGACCGTGGCATCAGAATAAATGACGAATATTATCCCGAAAATATTGTTGAGGATGTATTAAAGCCCTGGAAACGCAAACATTTTGGCCGCAGACCTTGGACATTCCTACAGGACTCAGCACCATCGCACTCAGCACGCGCCACCCAAGAATGGTTACAAAATTAAGTTCCTCGCTTCATTTTCAGCGCACAATGGCCACCAAAATCTCCGGATATCAATCCCTGTTGATTATTGTGTCTGGAGTGTTGTGGAAAGCAAGGTTGGCACTAAAAAATTCCAAAGTGTCGATCACCTCAAGCAAGCGCTTCGCCGGAAATGGGCCAAAATACGGCAGAGCAACATTCGGGCAGCGTGTGACGGTTTCATTTATTGCCAAAGGTGACCACTTCGAACAAATCTAAACATATTCTAAAATTTGATGCTATTACCGAAATTTTTTGCTTTCATTCAAAAAAATTTAAAAATTATGGCGTTTGACTTTGTTGCAGTTTTTTTATCTCACCCTGTAGTTCAAACCTGGTACGTTGCAATATTCATATCATATTTATTCAGGTCCTATACGAAATGGACAATGTTAGCCCATTCCTTCGGAACCTACACCATATATGGTCCACAAAGTTGATTAATCAAAATATATTTAAATAATCGAACATTGGCTGAGTGTATACATCTGCCGGCAAAACCGACTTTATTATTCAAACACTTTTCATTTTCGTCCTCAACTCTTACACTTTCAAACTTAACACAATTTAGCGTGATTGCCAACCTGCTTTACAAATTCTGAGTAGTCACAGCAAAAAGATATACATGCCTCTGGATCGCTACTAAACGATATACCCTGAGGACATTGTGTTGGCTGGCAAATGTTTGTAGATCTTATCGCAGGATTTTTCGAATGATCATTCAGCGTTACAAAGACATGACAGCGATTATTATATTTGACAACCTTATACAACCACATTGGCATGGGATTTTTTTCGCCGGCCATTAGATAAATGGGGACAAAGCGATGGGTTTGACTGTGCTGCAGATATTGGACGTCATGGGTTCCGCTCAACACCGTGGCATAAGTAGTTGCGCTGGGTAATTTGTGAATCCAATTCTCGACGTGTTTCCAATTGCGAATGTTACAACCGCGTGCCATTGGCACCACATTCATATACAAAAATGTTGCATCCATTTGATCATAGGTGAGAAAGTCCTGAGAATTGGCCATGTGGCCGCGTTGCAGGGCAAAATCTCTGTTCGACTTAATGTACGTTTGCTGCTGACCCAAAAGTGTATTGAATCTTTGGTAAACATCATCGGCTTCGAATGATTTTACGCGGGCTCCATTCATATGACCCAATTGCTTAAATGTGGGTCGTAGTCTTTGATTGTAAATTGGGGTTGCCAAATTGAAGCCATATGTTCGATGAGTGCTATACAAAACAGTCTCCCGCTGCGTACTATAGCAAATGCTGTAAAGGGTGATAGTATGGCCCGTTGACCATTTGTAGACCATGTCGTACAACTCGCCCGACACACCACTGGCCGAACATGGTTTCTTTGTTGCTTGCACCGTTAACTTTAGGCGATCAGTACAGGCAGCTCCCGCTGGCATGGCCTGGAGAACGCCCCGACTACAGGTTAAATCCACCGGTTGTGTACGTTCATTGCAATAGAGTGTCAAGGTATCACCATCTGGTATGTAATCCGTGCGAAGAATATCATTTTTGTGAATGAAAATGAAATCTCGTCTCATATTCGCTTCGCTTAGTTGACAATTTTGAGCCCAGGCGACTGCGAATGTTTTGAAAAAAAATTCATATTGCGTTTTGTTTTTATTTAATTATTCTTGGAATCTTACCATTGGACGTTATGAAAATGTACAAAACAAATGTGTGAAATAGTATTTTGTTTCCCATAATGTAGCAGTAGTGCTGAAATGTTCTTGCTCCCGTTTGCGTGATAAAAATGAAGTCAAATCACATTTGCGTCGTATTTATACTTGTGATCTTGACATATGAGCCATTCAGTATTATTTTCGCTGCAAAGAAAAAAATATATAATATAAGCGGACGAACTTAGTAGTTGGGAAGTAAACAAATTTTGATTATATATGCATTATTTAATTACTCTATTTCTATATATCTAAACATACAGCTCAAAAAAAAAAAAAAAAAAAAAAAAAAACAAGTAAAAAACCTGTAAGTTCGGCCGGGTAGAACTTTGAATACGCTCCAACATTTGGAACGCATTTGGCAATTTTTAAAAAAATAAAATCCGTTAAAAATTCTGTTAAAATCTTAAAATACCGATTGTAGCCGTTATTTTAGGGTATATACGACGACGTGGTCCTGCATACTCAACTTTTGTCATAAGCCATAACAATATTCAAATGTAATACTTGAAAAAAAAATCGGTGAATAATGTAGCTAAAATCATCAAAATACCAAATATATGGAGATACCATTATATGGGGCTATATCAAAACGTGAACTTGCACAGACAATTGATCACGAAGCTTTAAATACCAAATTTGAAACAATTCCGGTAAATAAAATCGCTAAAATCATCGAAATACTGAATATCAGGAGGTACCGTGATATGGCGGTAATACGATGACGTGGACCTGTACAGACAGTTTTCTGTCATAGGCTGTAGTATCCATTACAAACTTCAAATACCAAATTTAAAACAATTCCGGTAAAAAATGTCGCTAAAGTCTTAAAAATATCGAATATCGGGAGGTGCCGTTATATGGGGGCTATATGACAGAAAATTGTCTGTGCAGGTAAATTTTCTGTCATAGGCAAAAGTATCCATTATGATCATCAAATACCAAACTTGAAACAATTCCGGTGAATAATGTCGCTTAAATCACCAAAAAAAAAAAAAAAAAAAAAAAAGAAAGGTACTATAATATGGGGCTATACCAAGACATGGACCTACAAGGCCCAAAATACCAATACCAAAAGTCCTGCATATAGTATATAAACTTGAGTAAAATTGTATCAACCAACTTTATTTCGTTCTGAAGATAGATAGAGATGTCCGCAGACGAATGGACATAGTACATCGATATAGAATTTTATGCTGATTAAATATACAGTGAGATAAAAAAATTGGAAACAAGGTCACACGTCATACTTTTTGGTATTCGGAGATTTTGGTGGTCTTTGTGCGCTGGAAATGAAGAGAGGAACCTCATTGGTAACCAATCTTGGATGGCGCGTGCTGAGTGCGACGGTGCTAAGTTCTGTTGGTATGTCCAAAATGTTTGCGTGCCCACGGCTTTAATATACCCTCCAGAATATTTTCGCAATAATATTCGGCACATTTTCTCATGCCACGGAAAGCGACTATCGGCTGTTATGGCGGCCCACACCATCACCATGGCCGGCGCTTGAGTTCTGATGGCCAACCGAAGGTGCACATTTTCAGCTGACCTCTTTGGCAAGTAAACACGATCATTTTGTTTGTCTACCAACTGCTGGACAACGAATGTTTTCTCATCGGAGAAAACCAAATTCGGCAGTTCACCACTTCCGGCCAAGCGAAGCAACTCTTTAGCTCTTTTGAGTCTATTTTTTTTTCTGTTGCGGTGTAAGTTCTTGCACGTTTTGGAATTTCAATGGCTTTACACCGAGCACATTTTTTTAATATTTGCGGAATGGAATATTGCGATATGTTCAGCTCTAGAGCTATTTTTCGGCCACTGCGACGCGGGTTTCAATCAAGTCGCTTCTTTACTTTTCGAACCATTTCTGCTGATGTTGCTGGTTTCTTCCGTCCACTTTCTTGACGTCGGGCTACCCTACCAGTATCACGATAAGCTATGCTGGAGTGCTCTAACAATAGCCACATGTGGTTTTACAGCAAAATATAAAGAAATCACACTATCACGCTTGAATCCCATCACGAATAACTTTCCTCTGGTAAATTCTCACCAAATTGCTTTTACACGCTTGTAAACACTATAACGAGGTGTCACTGGAATAATTTTAACAGCTGTCGGGCGAGTGGCTTGGAAATGGCAGCAGTCGGAAGTAGGTTGCAGATTTTTCAACTCAACCTGCATATATGGGAGCTATATCCAAATCGGAACCAATTTCGACATAATATGGCAAATTCATTTTTTTTTCAAAATCCGTTTCTTTTTCCTGATGTGCGAATATAAAATCTAAATTTTTTGGAGGTACCTCCGATTCTGTTCCAGTTCCAAGTGGAATTTAAAAAATGTATTCAGCCTATGTCACTTTCAGGCGATGTTGTAGTCCATAAATTCCAAACAAATAAACAAACATATTATGAATTATTTTACTTTTTTATATATTTTTTGTATTTATCATAATCTGTATGTATGTTATCATATTTTGTGTATTTTTTAATTAATGTTTTCTTAGTCTCGTTTTAAACACATATATTTATTTTTTTTTCATTTCATACATTTTCACACATTTATAAAAAGATCTCACATTTGTCAAGAATCGCTCATATATACGTATGCCCACATTGAATTAAATTTAGAATCAACAAACATTCTTTATGACGTTTTATGTGGTCATCCTATTATAAGATAAGTTGTGGCTTTGCAATCTCAGCAATATATTAGAATGTACTGATTTGAATGAGAATTTTCGGCACACATATTAAAAATAACATAGAAAATATTAAACAACAAATTACATTTATTGCTTGATGTCGGAACACCCCAGTGTGCATGTGGAGCGAACTATTTTAATAAACAATAGAAAAAAATAATGTAAAAATTTAGGATTGGAAAATCCACATAACGTTTTGTAACTTACGCTTTGAATCATAATAATTTAATTTTGTGGGTAATTTTGCTGATTGCTATAGGGATAGACCTATACTTGTAAGAAAAATTGGTGTAAACATTTATCAAATAATGGAAGCAATAAATTCGAAATTTTGCTACCCTCTAACATGGGGGCATACGATCATTGTATATTTTTGGGAAAATTTTCATTGAAATCATATTTCTCCAAAGGGTCTAATTCCATCCAAATTTTTCGCTTTTTTATTTGTTAAAATTTATAACATGTGCTTTTAGGAAATATGTGGGAGCACCAATGATTTGTAGCTGATAAAATGCTAATAAGCTTTTAATAAGAATACAGGGTGAGATGATAAAACTGCAACCAACTTCAGACTTCTGTCATTTCTAAGTCACTCGTCCGATGGCTATTAAAACTATTCCAGTGGCAGCTCAGTATATTATTTACAAGCGTACAAAAGCATTTTGGTGAGAATTTTCCAGAAAAAGTCATTCCTGATGGAATTGGAGCCTGATAGTCTGATTTCTTAATATTTGGCTGGAAACCCACAAGTGGCTATCGTTGGAGCACTCCAGCATTTAAATGTGAATAAATCTTTTGTGTCTCGTACCATCGCTGGTTACCGTGAAACTGGTTGCGTAGCCCGACGTAAGGAAAGTAGACGGAAGAAAACAACAACATCAGCAGAAATTGTTCGTAAAGTAATGAAGCGACTTGATCGAAACCCGCGTAGCAGTGGCCGAAAAATGGCTCGTTAGCTGAAAATATCGCAATATTCCATTCGGCAAATATTGAAAAATGTGCTCGGGGTAAAGCCATTGAAATTGCAAAAAATGCAGGAACTTACACCGCAACAGAAAGAAAATAGACTCAAGAGAGCTGAAGATTTGCTTCGTTTTGGCCGAAAGCGGTGATCTGCCGAATTTGGTTTTCTCCGATGAGAAAACATTCGTTGTCCAGCAGTTTATAATCAACCAAAATTATGGTGTTTACTTGCAAAGAAGTCAGCTGAAAATGTGCACCTTCGGTTGCCCACCAGAACTCAAGTGCCGGCCATGGTGATGTTCTGGGCCGCCATAACAGCCGATGGTCGCTCTGCGCTCGTATTAATCGACCGTGGCATCAGAATAAATGCCGAATATTTTCGCAAAAATATTCTGGAGGCTATATTAAAGCTTTGGGCACGCAAACATTTTGGCCGCAAACCTTGGACATTCCAACAGGACTCAGCACCATCGCACTCAGCACGCGCCACCCAAGAATGGTTACAAAATGAGGTTCCTCGCTTCATTTCCAGCCACCAGGCCACCAAAATCTCCGGATACCAATTCGTTGGTCCATTGTGTCTGGAGTAATTTGGAAAGCAATGTTGGTACTAAAAAATTCCAAAGTGTCGATCATCTCAAGCAGGCACTTCGCCGGGAATGGGCAAAATACAACAGAGCAACATTCGGGCAGCGTGTGGCGGTTTCATCGGCCGTTTGAAGGACATAGTGCGTGCCAAAGGTGACCAATTCGAACAAATCTAAACTTATTCTAAAATTTGATGTGATCTATTTTCGACATTTTTGCTTTCATTCAAAAAAATTAAAAAAAATGTAAAAATTATGGCGTTTGATTTTGTTGCAGTTTTTTTGTCTCACCCTTTATATATCTGCTTCATAATGCATTTAGCCTTACCAATTTCTATAATTCCACATCACATGATGCCTTCGTATGTATTGTAATTTATTGATTTCTATGACTATCCAAGTTACATATTAATTTCCTCGCAGCTTCATAAGCTACTCAACAATTTACATTATTTCACGACAGTATTCTCCCCAACAAAGCACTTCAATTCAATTCCATACAATCAACAAAGTATCCTTCATTAAAATTGCTACAGAGTCTTCATTAACTAGGAAGTAACATTAGCTACTCTTTGAAAAAATAAACAAACATCAAAGATAAGCCCGAATTCGTTAGCATATATTAAAATTTTATGTTAATCATAAAACTTTTGCCAAACTCAACAAGTGTTGAGCGATATGCATAAATTATAGGAAACACGAAAAAAAGAAACTCGCGGCGGTTATAATATCCGTTTTGACACCGACCCCAAAATACTAATTCGTTGCGAAAATAAAAATACAAAAGAAATGATAATAAGGAACCTTTTCTCCTTCTCTCTCTCTTTCTGCGATTTGCAT